CCCCTGCACCACCACCACAAATCCCGGTACCACCACACCTTCGGCCCCTCCCACCCCATGAGGTTTCTGTAAAGAACACATATTCCTCTTTTCACTGGCCCTGCATCCGACACTGCAAGCCGATATGAGCTAGTCACAATTTAAGCCTATATTTTGTGTTCGTTTACAGGCAATTTTACCATCGATCACCCAGGAATTGTGTTCTAGGCCCTACTTACGTTATATAGTCAGTAATAGCTAGGTCACATGTTATATGTATTACAAATGCCGTCAAGTCCCACTCATGTACATTTAAGACTTTATAAATACCATATGATATAGATTTGAATACACTGTACAATTCTACACCGTGTATAATGACACTCACTACCTGTACACAGGTATATACATATACGACGGCCTTGGGATCTTTGTTATCAATCGTCTGAGTACCGACACAGCAAGTGTTAGATATTGATTTCCCCGGGTAGATATTGAATAATGTGGTGTGTAGATTTTTTTATTGAACATTGACTGTCATTTATCTCTCCCTACGTATACCACTGTATATAACAGACGGGGACGGACATCCCCGGTATTAAGCCATGCATCCGAAAAATCACAGAGAGGTTTTGAGAGTAATACCATGTGAAATAATCAAAAGACTTGCAAGCATGCCTATGTAACCACCGGCTATGTTTTTTTTTCAAATATTTGTTATTGTTTGTTCCACCAAATTGAATACTCTCTAAAAATGCGATTGGTTTATTGTACCAACGCAAAAATAACAATTTACAAAAAAGTAAAATTTCTTTAGCATTTTCTCGTTTTGTTATTTGTTATTTTTATTTTATTCTCGCAGGAAATTGAAGACATAGACGTGGACCAATATATACAGGAATGACGACATATCAATATCATAGAGTATGGCGGGTGATATTATGTATTGTTACCTGTTAGTAGTAGCTGCCTTCCCTTGGAGGAAGTCGGAAATATGGTGTCACAAGCACCCTTAGTTTAACCGCTATACATTTACACGTATGTATACCATGTTAAATTGTAAGTGGGCGTGTCTCCATTACGGTTGTCTTTTCATGGTGATATGAACCATTCATATAGAAATATGAACCCATTCGGGAGTTCTGTAAACGGGATGACGTTCACAGGCCATAAACTCTACGTATGTGTTAGAACATCAAAATAGTTGTTATTGAAGCTGCTGACCATTCAGAATGGACAAAAACGATCTATTTCGTGCGGCGCAAACAAATGACGTCAAGTTGTTCGAAAGGTGTATCGCCGAAGGCATGGACCCCCGTACTACCGGCGACCGAGGGGAAACAATAATACACTACATCTCCATGAAGAACAGCTATGGACTTCTGTGTCACATTGCAGCAGGTTACAACGACGTCGTGAAAGCTCTAGTCAACACAGCGGACAATGATAGAGATTCGCCGATGCATTGGTGCAGCTTCAGGTAAGTGGGGTTCGAATTTAAGTCTAATATTCAAAATAACACAACAAAGAACGTCTGACATAAATAAAGGCTAAGTTTGTTTCACTGATTTGGAACACTGTGGTTCAGTGAGTTGTTTCAGCGGTTTCGCGTCGATACACTCTTGCTTGGCAAAGGAAACAGACGTTTTCGAAAGCTCCCAAAATGAGTTTTCATTTCATGTTTGTGTTCAAAACAAACTTAGCCTTCATTATCCATAACAAACCGACGTATCTTATTCCGTCTGATATTAATGTTCTGTCTTTGTAATATGTTTATACTCACAGAGGGAAACGTTTTTGATTTTTATTTTTTTTTAAATTTATGTAATTGAATCAGTTTATTTTATTGACAGTGGAATTGTATTAAATCTGTCTATGTGATTGGTGATTTAATTACTCGGTCTGTATTAAATCTGTCTATGTGACTGGTGATTTAATTACTCTGTCTGTATTAAATCTGTCTATGTGATTGGTGATTTAATTACTCGGTCTGTATTGGTTGTTTATTTAACTATTGTGGAACCAAACAAAAGTGAGAATTGAAAGAAAGTAAAATGTTATATTCAAAATAGCACAAAACCTTTGATATTAATGTTTCATATTGATATAATTCCAAATTAGATGTTGTGCTTCGTTACAAGTTCTGTGATCGGGTACCGCCGCTCATGTGGTGTGTACGCAATTTTTCTCCGTTCATACTTGCCTGAACTTTAGAAAAAAATCAGATTCATACCTGTTTAAAAAATGTCACTTCTATCGAAAGGTTCATACAGCACAGCCAGTTTTGTAGATTTTATCCAATGAAGGTGACAGAGTACATACCGTGCTTATAATTGAAACGTTACAAACAAACACTTGAATCGTTGTGGAACATGAATCTTTATACAATCCATGCTTGCCAACCTAAAGAAATTGTTTAGCAAGAAAGGTCACTTTAAATGTTCAATATCTGTCATTATCGCTATCTGTTGTGTCTAAGATGATACCACGATGTCATGACGTCATGTCTGTTCTGTGAAATTCTGACGTCACAGTTGGGATTAATACATGAGATAATACACAAAATATAATATGGTGATGGTCACGTGATGAAATATACTTGAACTCTTAGTTTCTGTTACACATATCTTCTCTACATCTCTGGAATATGTCATGACAAAACTCGAATGCTCGCGGTAGGTTATTTGATTGGTTACAGGCTTAAAAACCTGACCCAACGTCAAAGACGGTCGATTTTACCGTTACGCTGCTGCATAATGCCTTATATCTCCATCAGAAACATCGTCAGTAGTCTACCTGTATCACCCGTAAGGTGTCATGATAGATTCTAAGGGTGCAGAAAAGATAGGGTTTGAGAATACAACCCTTGGATTTCGATCATGGTATTTTGGTATCACAACCATTTTCAGAATCCTTTCCAATTTTCGCGCCACCCATATATTGTTGCAGCTCAACACCAGCATTGAGGATTTATGAGAAGCTTCTAACTCTGAGTGCTGATCCCCTCCAAAAGGACCAATGGGAACAGTCCTGTATAGAGCTGGCGGCCGTTAGGGGGCGCACCGATCTTGTGACATTTATGAAGTGGCGGGAAGCACACCCACAAGGTATTTTTCACGTTAGCCTTATGCTTCCTTTAATGTAGATATCTACTGCATTTTATAGTTACAGTACAGTACATCCTATAGTCTATATATTGTGTAATGTCCAGTTAAAGCAATTGCTTCCAAATGTATATCGATATTTTGCTTTATTCCCTTCAGATCTACATTGAGTGGTGTTCGTGTTATTCAGATCCGGTCTAGCTCGAGATATTCCCGTTTTTGTCCACCTCAGATGACACGCTTGTCTAAGAGTAACGATTTGTTTGTATGATTGATAAAGCAATTACTGTCTGCTCCCCTCTGATTTTATCGTCTTGACAATGTAGCAACTGTCTTCATTAAAGAATATTGACACCTTGCTGAGACTATAGACACCTTGCCGAGACTTTAGCCACCTTGCCAAGACTACTGACACCCTGCCGAGACTTTAGCCACCTTGCCAAGACTATGGACACCCTGCCGAGACTATAGACACCTTGCCGAGACTATATACACCTGTCGTTTACATCAGAGACATCAAAAATAACTTGGAACACCTTGTCTGTTAGAGCATATTAAAAACCCGGAATCCTACCATGTACTTACAACTATAAAACACATTCATATAGGTAACTATATATATATTACCAAATTGTAATGGTGCAGTCACCTATGTGTGTTAAGATCATCATAAAAGTAGGTAATTTATTATCATAAGAGGTCTTTAGGTTTCGGCAAGTTGTCAAATTCCCTTCTTGAAGACAGGTGCCATATTGTGAAGACGCTAATCAGAGGGGATCAGAACTAGACAATGAGATCCTCGAATTGTTTGTAAGAATAATCATTGAAGAGAAAAAAGGAGCATCTGACAGATATTAGAGAGCTTGGATCTTCATACACTGCAACACGTGACTTTCTTATACACCGTGGATGAGGTTGATAGCAGCCTTCCCCTCGGTTCCAATCATAACCAAAGCTCAGATTAGGAGAAGGATATAAACTAAAACATTATGGAGAAATACAAGCAGATTACACTATTGTTTCTAAATATGCAAGTTGAACAAAAATCGATTTTGTTATTCGAATCCCTTACGAATTTTAAATGATTGGAATAAAATGGAAAACAACAAGTGCCACCTGCAATCATAGACGCATTTAGATCAAGTCTATCTCAAATAATATCGTTTCCTCAAAATCAAACTTAATTCGAGATACACTTTGACTTTGTCCATTCCAGATCTATATTGAGATGTCGTTGTGTTTTATATTCGCGTCAGGTCTACACCAAGACATCATTGTTTTATCCAAATTGGATCTACCTCGAGTTCTCCTCTCGATTTCATCTCACTTCGGTTCAATCCTAATATTAACTTATGAGTTTATATCAATATCAAGATTAATTCGAGACACCCTTTTATTTATTCACTTCGGATTACCACGAGTTTTTATCCACTTTGGGTTCACCCCAATATATTGTTGTTCGATTCCACTTCTGGCCCCAGGATCATGAAATCCAAAATAGTCAAAAGTTTTGACTAAATCAATCTCCGATAACATCGTGAAAAGAGACGTCATACCTGATTGGCTAAGACAAAACTTAAATCTAAGATTGTTTCATAATCCCGAGGCCACGGCCCGTATTCTTTTAACCGTTCTCATGCACAACCAATGACATAGTGATCAAGCCTAATTGCTGCTTCTGGTCTTAATTAATTTAATAAGCAAATCTGATTTTGTCAATGATTAGGAAAACAATTTGTAGACCTAAAGCCAAATACTGTTTTCAATGTTAACATTTGACTTTTTGATCGTTTGACATGATTTAAGTGAGTTACAAGAAAGTTGATTTGAGCAAAGAACACATATTCACGAAACCGTTCTCATGCTCAAGCATGGATTTTGAGTTCAAGCCTAATTTCTTGTCCTGGCTATGAATTAAGAAAACTAGTTTATTTTGTCGATGATTTGAAAAATGTTTGAAGAAACCCAAAGCCAAATACTGTATTCAAAGTTTACATTTGACTTTTTGATCGTTTGACATGATTTAAGCGAGCTACAAGAAAGTTTGTTTGAGCACAGAACACATATTTGAGCATGAGAACTGTTTCGTGAATACGACACATCTTTGTTGTATTTACATGGAATCAGACCAAGAAATCCTTGTTCTTATCCTTTTCACTTTTTTTATCTTGAGGTATCCTTGTTTTTGTCCTCTTCGGTTTGCCTTAAAACATCCTCTTCTTTCCCGCTTCAGGCCTACCCAAGGACATACAGGGGCTAGACAACATCTCCATACTACAATACATCAACACGTTTGGGAGCATGAACAGCAGCCACGCCCTCCTCTACGAGATGGCTATGAAGGGTAAGAAGGAGAAGTCATCTCACATCCGTATCATCTTCCTAGGCTACCAGGGAGTGGGGAAGACCACTCTGTACTATCGACTTACAGGCCAGAAACGACAGGTGAGATACCCTAGTTGACCACAACAGGTTACTGTAACAACGTTGGGCGCCTGTATAGTTGGAACGCAACGGAATCAGAGTTTTGACATGGAACTATAGACTGATGGGTCAGAAAAGCAGATTATCCTGTGGACTGCTAAGTACTAGAATACCCTGCCAGTTGATTTAACCACTCCGTGATTGTGTGATGCATTTTTTTGTGGGGAATATGTACAATTTTGATAGAGCGACGGGCCTGAAACGATAGACGCATGTATGTTTGGGCGCCTGTAGAACTTCAACACGAAGAATGCAGAGCTTAGACAGACAGGAATCATTCAGGTGTTCCCTTTGTCCATTATGTCCAGCAAAACTATCCATAACATATTTCTAAACTTTTAGAACATATAATCTACTCTTGTCTTCTAACAGGTGTTGTCCACAGACAATCTGGAGATCTTCCAGAACCGGCTGATCATAGACCGTGTAACGATGAAGAGGAAACTGTTGGAGGAAGGCCTGGAGCTGGAAACGAGTCTGGAGAGGATCAGGGATGTAGTCATTGGATCCATGACAACAGATGACGTCACAGTAGATGTTATTGACGGAAAACCCGGTAAACACTATCATAAGTTATTATCTAACAAAACAAAATTTAATTAACAGTTATTAACAGAATTCAAAAATACCATACCTACGTGTATATAATTTTCTGCTATAAACATTACCACGATAAATTGCAAGGAAAGCAAATAAGCTCAGCTGCTTTATTCAGTATTAATCATAAATCGAAACACACTATACTTAAAGATAAAATTAAATAAAAACTTAGTGATTGTGGAAACAAGATTTTTTTAAATATTTTATCTACAATTCGTAATCATGAGGCAAGAATTGCGGAATTGGATTTGTTTTCATGAGAAACCGAATTACGCGAAAATAGCTGTTCATGTATATAAACAATTGTATATGTACATCTTCATATGAGGTCCCAGATATACAGCATTAGGTGTTTTTTAAAAGTTTAAAGCTTGCAACAATGAAGACAGTACACCGTCAAGAATTAATAATAACTTGACATTATCAGAGCGCAAAATGGCACAAAACCCAGCTCAACACGAGTATAGTAATACTGCATAAATATGGATGTAGTAGACATATTTTGCATTACATTTTGGAAAATTTATTGCTAGAACTTCTGCTTCTCATTTACAGATATCAGACGTCCAGTATCAGCCCGTATTGACAATAGACTCAAGCCACCTACAGCCATCAAACGGACTCGTTCTGAACCGGACGCTCTTGCTGACCTGCAGGCCGAGGCAGCTGTTCTGATGTCCCAACGTCCGGTGGAGAGATTTGGGTCTTGCGGCCAGAAGACGTTCGTCAGCGTGTTTGACTTCGGCGGAGAGTCAATGTTCAGTAATCTCCAACACATCTTTCTCAACTCTAACGCAGTCATACTTCTGGTGTTTAGTCTGCACAACTGCTTCAAGGAGGAGGCCATATTCGGTACAATTGTCTCTTGACAAAATCACTTAATTACAAATGAAGGCCTTAGGTGTACCATCGTTTTCTGTCCATTTGTTTAAACGCTGTACATATATTACTGTAATTATATTTATTTTAGTGAAAATCTTAGCGTTTTGCTCCCTACTTTGGAAGATGAACGTAACACACACTAGTAGCTGCACCGTTAACATTTGATTATTCCGTCTTTTCGTATTGCAGAGTTATCTGCTCTTGTGAGCAGGTATTGATTGTTATGTCATTAGTCTATGTGAGAAAATAACGTCGTTTTCTCAAAAATGTATGACGTTACTCTCACAAACAAATGACGTAATAATCAATACCTACTCACAAGAGCAGAGAACTCTGCAATACGAAAAGACGGAATATTTACAGTATGCTAGAAATGAATTACACTGCATCCTACTGCTGTTTCGTCCTTCTTCGACACAATGGGAATGCTCGAGGTTAAACAGTTGGAATTCCAAATTTGTCCTAACTAATGTTGGAACAAAGAGGAATAAGTTATACTCCTAAATTTTAACTAAGACTTGAGACGAAGTCGTTGAATAGGCAGGCCTCCACAAAATAGAAGTTCTTCATAGTAAATAAGTTTACAAATTCTCCGAGCATTATTTTTGTGATGAGAGGAAAATAATCAGATTTTTTTTCTCTCTCATTACTGTTAAATATCCCTGTCCCACCGCATTGTAGTTTTTCCTTAACACAGTAACGTCCCTTTATCCTCTGTTTGGATATAACAGTAGCACATTAGGACCAGGACACTTCCAATTACCAGTTAGTTCAATCGGTTAGAGCGATAGTATAACAATCTGAAGTCCGGAGCGCGAATCCTTCTCTAGCCATACTCGATGTTTAGTAGGGCCAGTACACGTTCGTTGACGAGTAGTGCAGTCGGTTAGATCGATAGTATAACACATTGGAGTGACCCAGTGTTCGAATCCTGGTCTAGCCCCCCNTTTATGTATTTCATCTCAATATCTTTCATTACTGTAAGGTATGGTTTTCTTTTCAGAAATGATTCATTAAGGTTATAGCCATGCCGGAAAAACAGCTTCCAACACTTAGTTACATTTTTGGCAGTGATACGAGGATCCTTAATAATTCATTTTCATTTACATCCTTCCCTTCCAGAGAGGGTGTGTTTCTGGTTAAAGTTCATCGCGAGCTACTCCTGCCAAATGACAGAGGTGTATTGTCCTCCCATTATTCTGGTCGGAACTCACCTTGACCAGATAGAAACGGTAATGAATCTCTCCTATTATAAAATCTGTATTTCACATCATCAAATCAATTATTTTGTGTTAGTCGGGTTGTCTTAATCAATTGTTTTCCCTGGGAATCTATTTTCGACATTTTTTGTATTAAATAATTGTTTTCACGGAAAACAACCAGTGAAATGAGCAGGAATATATTCCATCCTTATCGTCACATAATTTGTGATAGCTAAAAATAGATCACGCGCAATCGAATATCTTAGGAAATATAAAAACAATTTGGCAGTAAGTCCCTATGTTATTAGCGTTTAGCGTTACTCGAACAGTGTCTTTTGTTGTACATTTAAAACCACAGCAAAATTAACACAATAATGACAACCGTGCGGCTGATTTTATATATAACGGTGAATCGTGTGCTCAAAACGTAACTTTATTTTGTAACTAACATTGCAATATATCAAACATTTTGTGACGCGGTTCGTCCAAGTAGGCACTGTATGTGTTTGGAAGCAAGTTTCTGACCAGGGGCGAAAAGCTTTGTTTGCATTATTAAATGTTTGTAAGAAAAAATATTTTGATATAGAAACTCAATTGTCTGTTTTTGATACTTATGTAAATAGTGTTTTAAGTTATTGAGCAGAAGCATGGGGCTTCCATGCCGCACCAGATATCGAAAAATTGCATGTGAGATTATGCAAACAAATATTAGGATTACATAAAAAAAGTAGTAATGTTATGGTGTATTATGAACTTGGAAGATATCCCATGAAAATAGTTAGAAAATTACGAATATTCAAATATTGGATAAAACTGAGAAATGTAGGAAGTTGTATTCTAAGGTCATGCTATGATGATATGCTTTGTAATAATGACATTTGGTTAATGAGTGTAAAACAAGAATTATACAGAATTGGTCTCGGAAATGTGTGGGAAACCTCCAGTTTAAATAATAACACTTTTCATATTATAACAGAACGTCTTTGTGACATATTCAGACAAGAATGTTTGAAAAAAAAAATCTTTATATTATTTATCAAAACCTGTAAATATAAATTATCTATAACAAATATGTAAAATTCGAATGTCTGCACATAAATTAAATATTGAGTGTGGCAGATATAATAGAACTGAAAGACAAAACAGATTGTGTACAGTATGTGACCTGAATGATGTCGAGGATGAGTTCCATTTCAGTTTAAAATGTCCTTGCTATATTGATATAAGGTTGAAACTAATTAAGAAATATTATGTAAGACATACAAGCATGTATAAATTGTATGCGACATTCGAAATCTTGGCAAATTTTAAATACAAGCAAACAAAAAGAGATCTGATCTGATTGCTGGTAGGTGTTCACTCTCAGCGGTGTGTGTGTGTGTGTGTATGTGTGTGTGTATCATATTGTATGTTGTCTCTGTATTGTTTTGGTATATATGTTATAACTGATAAATCAACCGACTTAAAGTAATAAAGAACTTGAACTTGAACTTGAATATAGAATGCTCCACGATGGACCGAAAATGGAACATAGATAATGGATCTATAGTTGATAGACTGTTAAAATAAAATATTATTAATATCATATATTGCTTATTTTTATGATAAGTTAAATTTTGCGATTTTCGGGAATGCATAACAAATTGCAAATTCAGGATTTTTTGCGGGTTTTTTTGTGTATGCTATTTTGAATGTTTTAAAAGTTGAGCGTACAAATAACTTATTAATTTTCATGATTTATAAAACTTTATTTCAAAATCTGTCTTTTGTAGGAACAGAAAAGGAATTTAGTGGTGAGCCAAGTAAACAGGGCTTTGTTTAACAATCCGGAGACCGCCAAGATCTTCCAGAAACATGTGTTCAAGTTCCTCACTGTTGACAGCACGACGGAACTGGAAAACTGTGACAGCCTCGAAGTTCTCTGGGCCTACATCATCGAGGCTGCCCAGTACCAGTCACACTGGGGCCAGCTACTACCGGGAAACTGGATAGCGTTAGAACGCGAAATAATGAGGTTAAAAGTTCACAAGAAAGTGATGACCTTTGAAGGGATAAGGGTCATTGGGGAGAACCTCACTGTCCCACTTGATGCCGAAGAGGTTAAAGCTATGTTGGAGTACGTATTACCGGTTTGTCTTTATTTTATCTAAACATCTAATATCTACTGTCTATTAAGATTAATCAGTTTATTGGTTTTTGAAATTTGGAATAATAATAACAAAATCTTCTTTGAAATATCTTCCGTCTCTTTACTTCTCTTGATATTAGAAATGTTTTTACGAAACTGTCACAGTCATAATGTAGCGGTTTTAACATAAACACAAATATGCTAACAAACAAAATAATCCTACTATTATTTTAGTGTTAAGGGGATTAATGAGACATACTCTTATTTTAAGGTATCTGCACATGCTGAGTTGCATCCTCTGCTTGAACATGGATTTTCCAAAAGCAAAAATGATCCCGTTACTCTTATTTTCAGGTATCTGCACATGATGCGTTGCATCCTCTGCTTTAACATGGATCTTCCCAAAGCTAACATGATTCTGGACCCACAGTGGATGGTCCAGGCCTTCCGCAAGATTGTCACTGTGGACAAATTCTTCGACAAAATCCACGGCAAGAACCACCCTCTGCTGAAGGCTTACCGACAGACAGGCAAGCTTACTATGGAGTTCATCGAATATGTGTGGAAAGGTGACCTCGACTTTTTGGAGTTCAAGAACACTCTGCTGTACTATCTCGAACGTCTGGAATTGCTGGTGAAACCTCTGCCAGAAAAAGGAGAGTCTGTCGTCAATTACTACATCGTTCCCTGCATGTTGCAGCCAGCTGATTCAGAACTGATTCGAACTCTGATAGAAGCTCCCAAAACCGTGAAAACAGCCACCTTGGTATTTGACTTTCAAGGACAATTTTTACCCCCTGCTGTGTTTAATAAGATTCTAGCTTCATGCATTCACAGGTTCAAAGTGATGCAAGCATCAGACGGTTCGCTATATCTACAGCAAGGACTGGCGTGTTTCGTGCTTAACCCACGGTGGAATATGGTGCTTCACTGCAGGGACGCTTTAATGAAAGTGACTCTTTTTTCACAGTCACGTGATAACCCAGAGTTTGAAGTCGAGGCTGTACCAGGAGAGGGCTTTTCGATTCGACAAATCCTAGAGGAGATTGTGAAGGCGACACTCGAGAGAAATAATCAGGACCACATATCATACACTTACTACCTTCACAATCACTTCCAGATCTCCCCTGGTGAAAAGTTATTTGACATCACGGATGTCATGAACACGCCAGTACCTTCCGATGGCCTGGGTTTTGATGAGGTCGATGCGTGCTTGTCTCCCCTGAACAGACTGGACTACGAAGTATGGTTCTTGACTCCAGTACAGGTTAGTTTGGTAACAATATCAACATTTTATAGAGCGGTCAAAATTAACAGGTTTTAAATAGGATATATACATAGGCCCGGGACCCGTATTCACGAAACCATTCTCATGCCCAAACCCAGATTCTGTGCTCAAGCCCAATTTCGTGTGCAAGTGATAAATTGATAAAAAACAGTCATATTTTGTCAATGAGATAAAGAATTTTTGAAAGACTTTAAGCTGATAACTGTTTTCAATTTTTACACTTGACGTTTTGACCATGTTACACGGTTTAAGCAGGTTACAAAAACGTTGACTTGAGAAAGCGTGCTTGAACATAAGAACATATTTATGAATACGGACCCGGATCACTTAAAAATGCGCCATTACCATTTTCCTAATGTCAAGCAACTTAAACCTTTTCTTTGCACGTGAAAAATATATTCTCTTTTTTTTTATAAAATTAATTGATCGTCTTGTGGTACTGTTTATATATAGATATCTTAGTATCACTATGATGCACTATTTCATTCTATAACGTTGTCTTTCAGACCCCCAGAAAGGAAAAACGAAGTAAGTATTTATAGCAAGATGTAATAAATTGTTACATTATATTTTACTTGTACGTATTGTTTTGTAATATGAAATGCTAGCTCATCATCACTACTTTATAACATAAACATCCTGTTTTGGAAACTATACTTTAAACTCAGCATGCAGTCCTGATTATGTTTTATAAAGTTTGCAAATTGGCTACTTTAAATAAACATATGACTGGTGGTCGAATTCTAATATATTTAAGGATATTCTTTTTCACTCGAACATATTTGTCTGTGCACCATGTTATTGGACAATATAATTAAACAACCTTATTTACCATAATGCCTCATTCCCACATCTTGTATTTCGGTAATGTATATTTACAAGCTCACTATTGTTCCGTACTTTTCAGTTGTGTACAGCATATGTTGTATTTTATTGTAAGTGATAATGCCAAAACCTATTTTGATAGCACGATTCATTATTTATTAGTTAAACAATTATTATCTACAAAATGATGATAAAATAAAAAATGCGATTGCTTACATGTACTTTTGCATAAGATAATTAACTTCTTTCATCAATTTAAAATTTGTTCCCCCTAACAGAAACTGTCGGCATTCTTAATCTTAAGAATAATGTGACTTCGTATTTTTTTTCAAAAGTACAAATGACAATATATATTCACCGTAGATGTACAAGAAGACCGAAAGCTGGCCCGGTGTGTTAGCCCACGAGAGATGAGTCGCATCGCGAAATACGTAGGGACCTGCTACAGCCTCTTCTTCACAATTCTCGGTCTGGAGGACAACGCCATTGACCACATCCGGTTACAGTACGGTCACTTCCACTTCCGGTCTCAAGTGACGAAGATGCTCATCGTTTGGAGGTAGAGATTATTGTCTTGATACTATTAAAGATGTGTACTAATGGGATTTTATTACCTGTAAATATTATTTATATGTGTTGGGGTCCTCTCTATCAGTGGGCGTGGTCCCGAATTAAAGTAATCAGTCCCAACGTCTGACCTTTCCGACTCTTGCACAAAATGAAATACTGTAGACAGTAGAAATAATTAAAGTTAGAAAACTGAAAGGAAATCCAGTACCATATGGGATTCGAAAATAAACATTCTTACTTCATTTTGTCACAGAGCATAATTAAACATTAATGATTTTGTTTTATTACGTTATCAACTGTGTTTATTACACAAGCTTTTATTTATATCTATTAGATTATTATAATACCGTAATGCCTATGAAATAATCACCATTAAGTGCCCCCTGTAAGATCCTATACATTTGTAGGTGTTTGGTTGCCGATATATCTGTCTCTATCTTCACTCATAGTCACTCTTGGCTACTCGTTATAAACAAGCCGCTCTCTTCGCCACCACTCTTTATATTTCCGTCCTGAACACCTCACGGTACAACAATAGTTTCAATCAGCGGTGATGTAATACTCAATGTAATGACTCTGTGCATCATAGGAACAAGATGAAGACCAGGGCGACACTGCTCGAGGTCGTCAAGGCCATGGAGTTCAACGAGCTATGTGTGGACGACATGCTGAATGAAATCCTGTCAGACTCGTTCCTCATCCAGACGGCCACCAACATGACGTCACCGGACGGTAAGGGACGACAAATAAGGGGAATGTCGTCATTCCAGTAATCTTCACACTTTAATTATTCGTTATTTTCTTATTTTTTTATGAAGGAAAGGTAAAGGCAATCGGTCTTTGATCATAAGGACGACTGACTTATCCTTTATCTTTATAAATATATGTAACAATGGCGTTTGCAATTTTAAAGCTACAGACGATTTGTCAATGTGTCATGTCGAGGGTCATGTTTTGAACAAGATAAATTTATGGAGGTGACGGTGTTGTTGGTTGTCATAGTCGCTAAGCGTTTCTCGGCTCGGCTCGGCGATATGGCATTAACAGTCTTCATCGTCTGTCAAGATCAGTAATTTTTACACTTTCGTTCTAGATCCAGCTGTGAAAAATATATAAAGGCAAAAGTGGAGTAACGATCTCCCAATTTTCATATTTTTCGCTGTTTTACAGTTTATTGCCACAATACAATAAATATATTGTTTGGGTTCATAATATTATTTCCTTGTGCTTTATTTCTTTTCAGTTATAGTTTATGTTTTGTTAAAAAATGTATATTTTAGTAGATAATGTTATTATCAGATAACGATTAGTATGAACGCCTTGTATTATATAATTCCAAAGATAAAATAATATGTCGAAAGAACATTTTTATGACTTTTCATAGGCGCAGATAAAACCAAGCACTATCTGTGCGTTTTCGTTTAATTCCAACACAATGACGTCACAATAGGAGACAAACAATATGATATTTTGTTTGTTAATCTCCCATATTTCGTATTATCCAGGTTGTCTCCAATATTCATATTATCCAGGCTGCCTCCAATATTTCATATTATCCAGGTTTTCTCCAATATTCATATTATCCAGGTTGTCTCCAATATTCATATTATCCAGGTTGTCTCCAATATTTCATATTATCCAGGTTGTCTCCAATATTTAATATTATTCTGGTTGTCTCCAATATTTAATATTATTCTGGTTGTCTACCTTGCTACAAAACCGTTTAACTGTAATGTTATATACATTTGTTTGTGATGACCGACTTGGAAGACCATCATTACCACGGAAAATCCATTTTGAATATATATCATGTTTTTTTGCAGATGTAGACATTTCGTTGAAAGTTCAAAGGTCATGTCCATCCGACCAAGACAAGTGGACATTCGCTGAGTGTATAGGAAACATGTACTTTAACGCCATGATCGAACTTGGCCTGAAGAACCAGTGTATAGAGCGGGCGGAGATGGACCACCGGAACCGGGTTCTGTATATTATACACGCCCTATTGACGGACTGGGTCAACAGTCAAGGTTCAGAGGCCACCATCCTCAAACTATACCTCGCACTAGAGGAATGTCAGGGAGATTGCCTTGATTTTGCAGGTAAGTTTCATAGGAAATTTAGAAAACAAGTCAGCAACACAGAACTCATTACACTTCAGTGTTTCTTTTGTGAAACTCGGTTGCAGATGAACGGTTAAAGTTTTGCGACTGACCTACCATTTGGGAGAAACCATGACGTCAGGCGGTATTGATGATGACGTGTTAACAAAACACCTAATCGTGCTTCAATAACATATATGTTGATATCTATAGTCATGTGATGTAACTATTTATACCATTGATTTATTGTTTGAAATTAAATTTTCCTTTATGTCTTCCGAATTGTGGCGTCATATTAATAAATATAACATATGACCTACTCATATTAATAAATAAAACATACGACCTAACACGATCTCATTATTGTGTCCCGGCAAAATTGGTCGAAATGATGTCATATATTTGTAATATTATTTGTGAATAACTTCTTTATAAGATTTGTTAAATAATATATTGTATTTCATGTCAAATAATATATTAATCGCAATTCTTTGTTTCATGTAAACGTGTATGCTTTTTTTTCTTTTAACTTAGACGGAATAAATCAAAACAGGAGTGAGCAGAACATTGTCGTGGAGCTCGACACTTCAGATGGATTCTTCTTGACATCATGACGTCATACAAAGCAGAGACAAACTACGTCATGACGACAGCATGACGTAAACATCGGCATAGACAAACGTCAACATTCAGGCTAATGATATAGCGTGATGTGTATATCTACTTTGGCAGTTTTCGTGGTTGGAGTGAAACCACGAAAACGCGCTATTAAGAGAATACTGTAAACGTAGATATTTAAGCGGTAGTCTTATTTTAGCGCTAAATGTCACGCTAAATTATTACTGCGGGAATTGAAGATCCTGTATATTGTTTCCTATTGCATATTTTTGGGGGCGCCAGTTCATCAATGCGATAATCTGTTCAAATTCGATAAAGCACTTAAATTTGAGTGCGTACGTTTATGGTATATGACCTATTAAGTTAATTCTATTCACAATGGGTAATGCTATCATGCCACAAAGTGCCAAAAGCTAACGATATATTTGAGGATGATCAGATAACTAATCATGAAACATGGAGATGATAACATATAAGCAATTACTTAAGCCATAGTTATATCACGCATAGGTCTTTAAGTAAAACACTCATCATAGATCTAGAGCTGCAACATTTTAAGTTTCAGTGTTAGAGAGAGCTATAGTGAGATAGCCATACAAATTATGTCATCGTCCGTGCCCAGCTTTATCTTGTTCACTAGGTGTTGTTATTGTGACCAAACTATCCAACATATTTTCACAGTCTTTACTTTATTTCCAACTCCTCTCTGAAAAACGTATAAAAGAGATAAAAGGAGCATAAAGCTAATTGCAAACAAGTAATTGTAAGCGCACAACTTAATCATTTAATAATAATTTGTAAAATTAACCCACATCAAAAGCAGTCAAATAAGCGCACAACTTCATCATGCTGAACAATAATGCAAAGTGTTGTGACATTTTTAGCAGTAATATTTTTAAAGTTTTGGTAAGTTATGTACAATATGAAGTTTTCTGGAACAGCATGTCTGTATGGGAAGAAGTGGTGGTTTCCTTGAACAACTAGTCAAGAAAAGAAAATAATAGTAAATGTTGGTTAGAAACTGCAAAAGTGGATATTTTCGAGATATGGAAATACTTTTTTCGCGTTGAATTAATTAGAGCAAATATTTCCACTGGTGAATATGTATTTATAGATTAAAGTTATATATTGATGTCAAAACCATTGCCAGCTCGAAAATTCCAACACAGAGCTCAGTCTTAAGAGTCACAACGTAAACATTACCACCAGCGAGAATTCGCACTTTTACAGTATTTTGTGTTCACGCTAACAACTTACAAGTAGTATGCTTATGGGAGAGACGGTAGACAAAGTGTCTTTGTATACACTTGTTTACCCACGACAGAGAACATTGATCTCTTTAGATTTCTCGATATATGAAAACACATTACATATGTATTTTTTATATCTGAAATCGATTTTACAATACCTGTCTTAGCGATAGTGTACACATGTATACAATTAATCAATGAAAGGGCCTCAGACGATCATTTTAAAATAATCAAACACATTTGTAGCTAATTAGAGCCGACTCTTTCCATACCAATAGAACTGTTCTCATGTTCAATGATGCTGTGCGCGAACCTCATTCCTTCTGCCGGTGAGAAGTTCATCAAATGTCACATGTTTTAATCATTTGCATACACTTTAGAATTTGAAGCCGAAAACAACTTTCATTTTCTGTGTTTTACGTTTTGACTTTATCACATGATTTCGTTAGTTCTATCTTTAGTTCATTGCCATCACATTGGAAAACGATGACTTCCTGATGTTTGAAATGAACACAACAAGGATGCTTCAGTAAGATTCAGTTGTCGGTTAATGTTAAATCAATAAGTTTAAGGGAAATAACTCCAAATTATTTTTTATGTATAACATGTTAGGTATCAGGTAGCACGCCACCGGTCTTAGTTTGTAATCTGACAGGGTACACACCGGTATAATCAAAAAACTGATCACACGAAGCACTGCTACTGATGCTGGGTCCGTTTAACATGTCTATGAATGAAATGCACGTTATGAAGGTAAACAATTCTTTATTGTTTTTTATGCAATGTATTATTTTTTATGAATAAATTTTCATAAATTTTGCGAATTCATGTTTTGGTTTATTTTAAGAAATCATAGACAAATTGATCTAATTAGTTTATATTGAGAAGCTGCAAGAAAGACAATTGGCTACTCAGAAGCTTCAGCTTCTCAAACATTCTTGATGAATGGGAATCGCTTTTATCGACAGGACAAACTGTTTGATAATTTTGTTTTTGATAACTACAAAGCCCGTACCTTGCAGAACTTAGCATTATTCTGGGAGTAAAACATGAACAGGGCAGGGTATTTGAAACCTGGACCCACAGCTACCTTGCCAAGTTCCGCCGCAGAACGAAATCACTGGGATGCTACAGTATGTATGAAAATCTACTGTGAAAAAAAAAGACAAGAAAATACCGAATGTCAAAGAAATCATAATTCGAACTCAAAATTGTGTTACACAACACACAAAACAACACATCTGTACTTAACTCACGGAACAACACATCTGTACTTAACCCACGGAACAACACATCTGTACTTAACACACGGAACAAAACATCTGTACTTAACACACGGAACAACACATCTGTACTTTACACACAGAACAACACATCTGTACTTAACACACGGAACTACACATCTGTACTTAACACACGGAACAACACATCTGAACTTAACACACGGAACAACACATCTGTACTTAACACCCGGAACAACACATCTGTACTTAACCCACAGAACAACACGTCTGTACTTAACACAAGGAACAACACATCTGTACTAAACACACGGAACAACACATATGTACTTAACACACAGAACAACACGTCTGTACTTAACACAAGGAACAACACATCTGTACTTAACACTCGGAACAACAAATCTGTACTTAACACACGGAACAACACATCTGTACTTAACACACAGAACAACACGTCTGTACTTAACACAAGGAACAACACATCTGTACTAAACACACGGAACAACACATCTGTACTTAACACACAGAACAACACATCTGTACTAAACACACGGAACAACACATCAGTACTTTAGAGTAACTTCTAAAAAGAATGGAATCGTTTTTTATCAGCCGGACAACAGATTTGGTAAATTATTAAAGATAAAGCCCATACCTTGCAAACCTAAGCAGTGCTCTGCCAGTAAATATTGAGTTCCACCAAGAAAACGTGAATATCAAAAAATCACTATACCAATTATATAAGCCAAATTAAAAATTCAGATGCTTCCCGATTTACTCATTCCGACTAGAAATAGCATACTCAGGTAATTAGGTGATTGGAAACTAGTTTTTGCACAAAGAGTTACATTATCATCAAGTCATTATGTCACAAAAGGTACAACATGGAAAGCATTGCAAAATTAGGGAATACAACCAGGTGATAATAATGATTACAAACGACATTTATAATTTGCAATATTACTTTAAGGCGCTTTACAACACCACACGAATAACAATATTTCTACAATGACAGGTATAAATATGTTTGTTAAAAGGTCTACAAATCGGCATTATACATAAGGTAACAAGACATTTATCTCCATGTGTTATATAAGTGGTATATATTATATTAGAACCAACAGTAGAATATCCGAAATTGGCTGTTTTGTGTATTATGGTATTCCGTCTCCGTATCTTGTTTCTATGTTTAATTGTTTGACTTCCTGTTTCCAGGAATAAAATGAGAAGTTGAAGAAAAAAGCTGTTTAGATTCATTTCTAAACAATCCAGTCACATCGCAAACCCAGTACACATGTACATATATAGCGTACAGATGACGTCTGCACAAAAGAGTCTAAAATGCAGACGTAAGGTTGGTCTTTATATCCTTCCTGAATTTAGCTAGAGTTTATGACTTATTAGTAGCAGATTGTAAGCTATTCATCAACATGGCCGAAACCCTTCCGGGGGAGCTTTCGTTATCTGCGTCATGTGAATCTAGGTAAAGCGAGGGTAAAAGAAGATACAATGAAACACCAAGGCACACTAAATAACAATATTTATATCGCACAAGGACATTAATATTTCCCTATGGGATCATGAGGGCCACCATTGAACTTACTCATACAATTCACCAACTACTTCAAAGGACTTAAATAATAATAATATTAATAATAATTCGAGGTTATAATCTACCAAGTTATCACAACCTAGTTCGTAGGTCGTCTCAAAGCGGTTCACAAATTATTATCTGTGGTTATAGGGTCTTCGCAACCAGCCAATATCTTTCTCAACTCCCTGTGGAGCATACAGCCATTGCTGCTATTTCGGCGCTCACAGCTAGCATTCAACAATTCTAGAACTGCCCAACCACGTACTCATTTACAGCTGAGTAGACTGGAACAAGCGGAGTAGATACAACAAAGTGCCGTGTCGAGCCGTGCCGTGCGGTGACTTCAACCTGCTACCCTTCGGTCACGAGCCCGGCGTTCTACCACTAGACTACCGTGCCGGTTTCTTTGTAGTTTATAACAGTCTTGTTGATATTTTAGGATGAAACAATTACATACGAGAGGAGCTTTGCTGAACGTGGTGAGTTAAGTCATCGATACTGAAAGAGTTGTCTAACTTTCCGCATTTCACGCTAAATAAAACGGTGAGATAGTTAGCAATAGCTATAGCTGTACCTATCTATTATCCGCAAAAAATATCGTCGGGGGACATATCCTCACGTTTGATAATCTGACACATGTGAAATGTTATTTCCTCGAATATGATTATTATTATTTCATTCCAATTAATTTTATATATGAACATTTCACTGAATATTAATGCCGTACTCCTCTAAATATTTTGAATCCACCAATACAGGTTTTGTATGCCCATCCCCTTCTGTGTCAACAGTTCTTTTGACTTATTTGGATTTCAAACCTTTGGGCCCCTATCATCACCGAGGAGCCTTACATGGACGAAACATCTGTAAGATGCACTGTAGTGAGTCATGTTAAGTATGATGTAATCTATCACTTAGACGTACAGTCATCTGTGTGTGTTACGTTCGGCTGTCTGTTTGAATGAATACAATCTATGGTTATGCATAATTGACGTCTTCTGTGCGCATTATGCCAATATCTCAAATATCTTGGATACGTTTCAAGCAAGAAAGAACATTTGTCCTATACGTACCATTAAGACAATCGCTAACCTTGTATTGTCGTGATCAAGGCTACAATCAGGAACAGACAGCGCCCACTTGTCTGTACAACACCCGATACATGCACAGTAAAGAACCATCAACAAGGCACCAAATACAGACAGTAAACAAACCATCATCAAAATATCAAATACACACAGCACAGAACCATCAACACAACACCTGATACACCATACATAACCATCAACACAACACCTGATACACCATACATAACCATCAACACAACACCTGATACACCATACATAACCATCAACACAACACCTGATACACCATACATAACCATCAACACAACACCTGATACACCATACATAACCATCAACACAACACCTGATACACCATACATAACCATCAACACAACACCTGATACACCATACATAACCATCAACACAACACCTGATACACCATACATAACCATCAACACAACACCTGATACACCATACATAACCATCAACACAACACCTGATACACCATACATAACCATCAACACAACACCTGATACACCATACATAACCATCAACACAACACCTGATACACCATACATAACCATCAACACAACACCTGATACACCATACATAACCATCAACACAACACCTGATACACACAGTAAGGAACCATTGACACAACACCGGATCACACAGTAAAACAACAACAACAAAACACAAACATACACACAGAAAAGAACCATCAACACAACTCCCGATATACAAACAGTAAAGATCCATCAACAAAATATCCAATACAAAAACAGTAAACAACCATCAACACAACAGCCAAAACACACCCATTAAAGAACCATCGACACATCACGTTACACACTCACAGCAAGGAACCACCAACAGCAACTTTTTTTTTTTATGACGATCGGCGTTCCTCCAAGGTGGCTAGTCTTGCTATCTTAGATCAGGGTGTTACGTCATTACAACATCTAACGTCATATAAAGACAGGTATGTATGGAGTCACCGAAAAAGAGTGAGCAGGTGAAAGGATAGATTGGTATCTCAAATGTTGTTTTGGAGACAGTCAATTTTTGATACTTCGATGTCCTATAAGAAGAGGATACAGAAACAAGAAACTGAATCTGTAGATTGTTCCATTGATATCGCCTCATGCATACGTTATTATACAGCAGGTCAACTCTTTTCCCGAACGTCTAAGGAATGGCTTATAATCCTTTAAACGCTTTGTATTGACTCGACTGGATGATTTTCGATATTGCCTGTTAAAACGCTGGACCTATTCACCAGTACCCCGATATTTCTGACCTGACTGGATGATCTAAAATGTATACTGATAGCTAGGATACTTGACAATTAGTCCAGTCGATTCGACTGAGAGATCTATCCTTCAGACTGACAGACAGAGCACTTGACTAGTGATCGAGGCCCCTTATACAAATATATAAAAACTCTACTGAAAGATTTTTAATGCGCCCAGATAGAGCACTGGAATATGTTACCTGTATTTCATTAGATAAAACGTTTGAAATATTTTTTTAATATAAAATAATGAATAAGAAAAATGGAAAACAACAATTTACCTTGGTCTTTATGTAACGTTAAATAGCAATAATTAATGTGTGGTGGAATGATAGATATTTTGGAAAATAAAGATAACCACAAAACAGAGGACATTTACACACTAAGTCACTGAAAACCGAACAATACTAGAGGTAGACGTTCACACTAGTGCATCAAATTTAAAATTAAAGGTTATGTGTTTATAATTGCAAAAGAATGAATAACAGAACAAATACCAACTGAATTTAACAATGTGATCTATAAAATTGAAAACAGTTTGTGGTTCTTATCTTGTAAAGTGATCTTGGCTGTAGTAATGGCTGTATTACCCATTGATTTGATGTACACTACCTTGTACA